CCGCCATCCTCAAATAGTTTACTCTTTAACCTTCAGTTTGGCAGGAGTCATGGTTATTTTTAGGGTATAGGCAGTAGAGCTAAACTAAACTCCTCCAGCTACCTGAGACAGTGACCCCATCAGCTCTTTCAGCTCAGCATGGTTTGCTCTGGACCATATTTTACATGTTAATTGACCAGAGTGGAAACAATGGAGTTTTGGAGTATGTAATGCATTGAAAAAAGGTGATTGGGGCTTGAATCAAAATGTCTTTATTTTGTTGATGAGTGGAAAAGATTCTACATTCTACAGTGGCTATGGTATTAAAGTTGTAGGGCACAGTTAAAGTGTTGCTGCCTGCTTTAGTTTGGACAGTAAGTATCTTAAGATGGCTCAGGCTGCTAGAACAAAATACCAATGACTGGTGGCTTAAAAAACAGAACTTCGCCGGGCGGTGGTGGCGCACGCCTTTAATCCCAGCACTCGGGAGGCAGAGCCAGGCGGATCTCTGTGAGTTCGAGGCCAGCCTGGGCTACCAAGTGAGTTCCAGGAAAGGCACAAAGCTACACAGAGAAACCCTGTCTTGAAACCCCCCCCCCCAAAAAAAAAAACAGAACTTCATTTTCTTATTCTAGAGGGTACAGTCTAAGAGTAACGTATCAGTAACGTGGATGGTGTCTGGTCACGGATGTCTTTCAGCTTACAGAGATCTGCCTCCTCACTTTGCTCTCACATGCTGGGGATAAAGGGAGAAATAAAGAACTCTGTCTCTCACAAAGGTAACAATCCTATCATGAGGCTGTCCACTTTTATGACCTCATCTAAACCTGATTGTATCCAAAAGACTATCTTTAAATGCTATCACATTGGAAGTTATGCTTTCCATATATACATAGCAGGTGGTTACTATAGTTTCTGTACTAGAGTTGAATTGGTTATATTTAATTTTGACTGAAACTTAGAACTATAGCTTCTCTCAAGAGTAGTTGTGTTTGTCATAATTTGTGTGTGTGTGAGGGTAAGTATGTATACGTGCACATACTTGCATGTACACGTATGCCACAGCATGCGTGTCGGGGCAGAGACGACCTCAGGTGACTGTCCTCACTTTCCACCTTGTTTGTGGTGGGGTCTTTGTTGTTTATACCTGTATATACCAGGCTAACTAGACTGCAAGTTTCTGGGAATTCTCTTGTCTCTAGCTCCCTTCTTTCTTAGGAGCACTGACGGGACAGATATGAACTTACCATATCTTGCTTTCTCTCTGGCACCTGAGATTTTAACTCATCCTTAACACTTGCATGGCAAGCACTTTCTTCATCCACTAAACCATCTCTTCAGCCCATAATTTCTTGGTTTTCTAGAGAAATAATTCCCAAAATGAGAATTTATAATCTCATTAAAGGATATATAAGATGATCCAGTGGTGTATAGAAAAGAATGTTGATTATTTGTTTGGCCTATATTCCAGAAAAACATTTTATAAATTATTACATTTTTCTTATTTTGTGTGTGTGCCATGGTGCATGTATGGAAGTCTGAGGACAATTTGTTGGAGTCTGTTTTCCTTCCACTATGTGAGTCCCAGGGGTCAAACTCAGATTTGCAGGCTGGCTGCCATGTCAGGTACATTACTGAGCTATCTTGCTAGCCCTATTTTATATTTTTAAAAATTATTTTTATTTTATTATTGTGTGTATGGGTGTTTTTCCTGCCTGTGCACCACTTGTGTGCTTGGTGCCTGTGGAGGCCAGAAGAGGGGCATCCTGTTCCTTAGAACTTGAGTTAGAGGCAGTTGTGAGCTGCCGTGTGGGTGCTGGGGAATTAATTGAACCTGGGTCCTCCGAACGAGCAGCCAATGCTCTTAAGCTCTGAGCCATCTCTCCAGGCCCCTATTTTGTATTTTTGAAATAGGGTCATATTAAGTAGTTTTGGCTGGCTGTTACTCTGCATGTGACCCAGGTTGGCCTCTAACTCTTGGCAGTTCTCCTGCCTCAGCCTCTCAGGTGCTGGAATTACCAATGTGTGCCTCCATGTTGGGCTAACCTTAAGTTTAATGCAATCTGATTGTATGTGTATACATGCATATTGAGGGTAGATGCCCAAAATTTCCATTGAAGTTCACTAATAAAACCTTCCTGCATAGGTTTTAACATAAAATTCTACTAATGTGTAACACCTCTGGAATAGCTACAGGTTGAATGTCCCTTCCCTAAAATGTTCAAGACCAGAATTATTTTACATTTCAGTTTTTCAGATTAGTATTTATTGTTGCAGTATTGGGCATTGAGCCCAGGGCCCCATGATTAAACTATACTTTAAGCCCGGATTTGGGAATGTTTGCATATAAATAATATGAACATCTGAAATGTTGTAAAATTTGAAACTAATTGAGGATCATGTTAATTCTCAGAAAGTTTCACATTTTGGAGTCATTTGGATACTTAAATTAGGGACACTCAGTCTTTTATGTTTTTTTCAGGCCAGGGTATCATGTAGCCCACACTAACTTTGAACTTGCTGTGTGTCTGAGGATAACCTTGAACTCATAGGCCTGCCTTCACCTCTTTTTTTTTTTTTTCTTGAGACAGGGTTTCTCTGTAACAGCCCTACCTGTCCTGGAACTCACTCTGTAGACCAGGCTAGCCTCGAACTCACAGAGATCTGCCTGACTCTGCCTTTACCTCTTAAGCGCTGGGATTACAGGCATGTGCTACCATGTCCAGCTTTCTGTCTGTTACTTTATAGATGAAAAAAGCAAAATCTAGTGAGAATCATGGGCTCATCAGGGTACAGTGTATGAATGGCTTCACTCATTCACTGGGATCTTGAACTTTTACTTTCTAGTCTGGGACTGATTTTGCTAAAATGTGATCTTTAGAAACTATCTGCTGTGTGAATGCTTTTCTTTACCTTTTTTTTTTTTTTGAGACAGGGTTTCTCTCTGTAGCTTTGGTGCCTGTCCTGGATCTTGCTCTGTAGCCCAGGCTGGCCTCAAACTCACAGAGATCCACCTGGCTCTGCCTCCTGAGTGCCGGGATTAAAGGGCATGTGCCACCACCGCCCGGTGTGAATGTTTTTCATAAGCATTCACAGGGTTTTATGTTTCTGAATTTAGTAATAAGGTCTGTCAATTTTATCTCAAAAAGGAGGTCCATTTTTTAAAGATCCTTAAGCCATTTTCTCCTTTAAAAGACTGTCCTGTGAATTCTGGATGAGATGAACATCATGGCTTCCTTTTCCCCCACTCTCAGAGCAGGTCATAGAGGCTGGGCAAGCCTTTTCTAGAGCCTTATGACAAGTTCACACATTCCCAACCTCCCAGAGAGGATGCTATTTAGTTACAAGAAAGGTTTTCAAGAGCTGCTGTTTTATCCTCTGGAAGTGGATAATAGTGGGGTGGGCATGTGACATGGTAGACAGTTTAATTCTACAAATAGAATATCTCAGCTACTCTTAATTTACTATCATACAATGGTCTGCTTTATGACTAGTAATGAAATAACTTTCCTTATAGGACTTTTTTTTTTTTTTAGATTTATTTATTAATTATGTATACAGTGTTCTGTCTGCACATATCTCTGCAGGCCAGAAGAGGGCACCAGATCTCATTACAGATGGTTGTGAGCCACCATGTGGTTGCTGGGAATTGAACTCAGGACCTTTGGAAGAGCAAGCAGTGCTTTTAACCTCTGAGCCATCTCTCCAGCCCTCCTTATAGGACTTTTACAATAATTAATTTTAAACCTGTAGATTCAGGGTTGGGGAGATTACTGAGATGTTAAAGAATATAAATAGTGACTATTGAGAGACAAAGCCAAGTGCTGTGTAGGAAATGATTTAGCAAAATACATCCAAATGGGGTGGGAGAGGTGGCTCAGAGGTTAAGAGCACTTACTCGACTTGGAGAGGACCCGGGTTCATTTCTCAGCACTTACATGGTGGCTCACAAACTATCTGTAACTCCAGTTTCAGGGGATCCAACACCATCTTCTGATCTTCTCAGGCACCAGGCACGTATGTGCTGCACATAAATACATACATGCATACATACAGGCAAAAAACCTCCTACATAAATCTTTGTTTAAACTTACACATCAGAGGAGGGAAAAGAAGCCAGTTGTGGCTCACAGCTGTTATCCCAGCTCTGGGGAATCTGAGGCAGAAAGGTCCCCATGAATTTGAGACCAGCCTGAGGTACAGAGTGAGACCCTATCTCAAAACCAAAGAAACAAAAAGTTAGAGGAAGAAAGTAGTCTACCCCGGAAGCAGCGTGTATACACGGCTGTTGACGGCTTGTTGGCACCTTCTTTCGTCACTGCTCTTCCAGGTGTTTTCTCAGATTTGGTCCGGTTTTTTTTTTTTTTTTTTTTTTTTTTTTTTTTTTTTTTTGTCAGAACTACTCCACTGTGGCCTGCTACAAGCATTCTTTGGGCAACTGTCTCTGCAGAGGACAGTTTTTATGAAACAGTACAAGTTTCTGTAAAGGAGAGAAGCAGAGGGTGAGGATAAGGATGGCTTCTAGGATAATTGTTAGGGGAATGAAAGGGCTGTTGAAAGATTGGAGGACAGTGCCTGGGTACTCGGTCTTAGATCATAATCATACTTTGTCTTTTACCACTGCCTTTTGTTCAAGACACTGAAAGGGCTAAACAAAACTCTAGCCTGAATAATATTATTCTTTGCTCTTTGGAATTTGCTGGAGGTGGCGATAAGGTCCTAGAGAGGGATGGGAGTGTTATAGCAGCATTAAAGAAATAAGATACATTCCCTAGTTCTAGATAGGGTTTTGCTACAGAGGTAAGTCTGGTGAAAATTAGTAGAATTAGCTGAAGTAATGTTTGCCACTATGTAAAATGAGCTAAGATGGGTTAGTGGGGATTCTCTTTTACATACCTTTGTATAGCCAATCTGGCACTCACAGAGATCTGCCTGCCTCTGCCTCCCAAGTGTGGGATCAAAGGTGTGCACCACCACCACGTGGCTCTGTTTATAATCTTATGTGTCTTTGCTTTTAATAGGCTTGACACTGCAGCTGAGTGACCAAAGACCAGGGTGCTTTGCAAGAGCTTGATTTCTGTCTATTTGTGCATGAAATGAGATTCGGAATCTTGACCCATGTATTCGTTATGTGAAAACAAATGCTTCACAGAGTTTGTGGAAATGTGTTGCTTACAGTGGGAGGATCTTGCTCAGCAGTGCTGAAGGTAGCCTTCTTGTGTTAAGTTGAGGTTCTTAGCTAGCAGTTTGTTATTAGGTGTGCACCTCCTGTTTCAAGTTTTATCTCAGTTCCTTCTTTCCCATGTAGGAAAAACAAACAAACCAACCAACCAAAACACACTATCAGCTACTTAAGAAAGAAGGTAAAGAGTTGGCAGTTGACCTCCCCCCCAAGTATGTCTCTTTATGGTGTTACATTCAGGGAAGCTGGGGTGGGGGTTAGCAACTGAGTAGTTAATATTAAGTGTACCCACACAAAAGATTAATTCTTATGAAAATGGTAAAACCTATGTATTGTTGAATGTCCTTGTCTCTTTTATTGTCTTTCCCAGAAGCTTTTCTAATTATTTTATTTCCTTCTTCCCAAATCCAGGCTGGATACAGCAAATACCATTTTCAAGATGTCCAGCAAAGGGAGCAGCACAGATGGCAGAACAGATTTAGCTAATGGTAAGGGACTGAAAAAAAGGTCAGACTCTCTTTACTATCAGTTGAGGTCTCCCTGCTTCCCTAAGGGAGAATGGAGACCTGAATTTTAGTGGAACAAAGGAGCCCTTGTCTGCTGTCTGAGTACAGGAAAGCACTCAGGAATCATCTTGGGTTGCCTTCAATCTTTTGCTCCTTCAAATTTTATCAGATTGTTTTCAGATCAATATAGAGATATTTCTTTCTTTTTTAATTTTTGTTTTATGTGTATGATTATTTTGCCTGCATGTATGTCTATGCACCACTTTTTTTTTTTTTTTTTTTTTTCGAGACAGGGTTTCTCTGTGTAGCTTTGCGCCTTTCCTGGAACTCGCTTTGGAGACCAGGCTGGCCTCGAACTCACAAAGATTCGCCTGCCTCTGCCTCCCGAGTGCTAGGATTAAAGGCGTGCGCCACCACCGCCCGGCTTTTTTTTTTTTTTTTTATATGCACCACTTTTGTGCCTGGTGCCTGCAGAGGCCAGAAGAGGGCACACCTTTAATCCTAGCACTCAGGAGGCAGAGGCAGGCAGATCTCTGACTTCGAGGCCAGCCTGGTCTACAGAGTGAGTTCCAGGACAGCTAGGGCTGTTACACAAAAAACAAAAAATTAAAAAATTTAAAATTAATTATTTTGTTTCTCAAAAAACAAACAAAAACATCCAGAAATATAAAGAGTTACAGACAGTTGTGAGTCACCATGTGGATGCTGGGAATTGAACCTGGGTCCTCTGAAATAGCAGTCAGTGCTCTTAACTGCTAAGCCATTTCTGGCCCCAAAAATATATTGACCTTTTGGTGAAGTAGTTTGGACTTTTGGAAGCCTGTTTACAAAAGGGAGGGCATACTTAATGAAATACTAAGAAGAAAATTAAGGTGGAGGGAGTTACGGGGAAGACTTAATTGAGAGGTCTGTTTATATGGTAGATAATAGTTTCAGAGAGTGATAAGAAATGAAGTTACTGATCTGGGAGTGTGCCTCAGTGATAGAAAAGATGAAACCAAAGCTATCCAGAATCAGGTCTTCTTCCCTCCCTTTACATTGCACTTAATTAAAAGGGACAGGATTCTAGAGAAATTTCAGTGTATGTCTCTGTGTGTGTGTGTGTGTGTGTGTGTGTGTGTGTGTGTGTGTGTGTGTGTGTGTATGCCAGGTGGACATAGTGGTCCACATGTAATTCTAGTGCTCAGAAAGTGGAGACAGGAGAGGTCCTGAAGCTAGCTACCTAGCTAAAATAGCTGTATCAACAAGCTCTGGGGTCACTTGACAGATTCTATTTCAGTAAGGTGGAAAGTGATTGAGCAAGATTCCTGATGTTAACCTTAGGCTTCTGCACATATGTATGTGCCCCTCCTCCCAGGAACATAGCATATACTCACATGCACACACCACACACACGTAAAGAAGGGTTCACCAAAATACAGTCATGCCCATTTACGTAGTATCTATGAGTTACTTTAGTGCAAGTGAGGGTCAATAGTTAAGACAGTCTTAAATGGTCTTATATAACTTAACATTTTGACCATTTGGGCCTGTACAGGAAAAAAAATTGCAAGAGCCTAAGGTAGATTTTGGTCAATGACTACTAAGCCCCTTCTTCCAGCTTGTGGTATACTCTGTCTCTTATTTTAATGTGCTACCACTGTCACAGTTTGAATTTGTTAATCACAACTTTTTAAATTTTATATTACATTTATTTATTTAGTGTTCACGGGTGCCATGATACTTGAGTAGAATCAGGTTCTCCTTCTACCCTGTGGTAGATCAGAATTTGTGTTCTCAGGGCTTAGTGACGAGTACCTTTGCTTGTCGGACCATCTTGCTGGTTCTTGTTGATCATAATTTTAACAGTAAGTTCCCAGAGTCTGGGGCTGGCTCTGTCAGGTGTTGTGTGCAGGGGTATAGTATACCAGGTATCTAACCTATAACCTTGTATACACTAAACAGGTGCTTTACCGTTAGGGTATACCCTGCCCTAGGTGTGTTTTTATCCCTTCTTACCAACCCCAAGCTTAAGCCCAATTGCACTTAAACACATCTAGTATACTTTCTCAGCATATGTAATTCTCAGCAAATCTGCTTCCTAAGTTCAGATTTCTGTGGGTTCCCCCCATCCCCGCCCCATTTTTCTTCTGCCTCCTAGCCCAGTTTTCCTACTATTATGCTGTTTGGTGGGGTGCTTTTGTGTTGTTCAAGCTTCTCTTGTTACTTCAAACAAAACACTTGTATCTGTTTTCTGTGTTGGACTTTGCCTGAGAATTCATTGGAAGGAGGTCTTATTTCTTCAGCAGTCTTACAAATCAGTGCTCCAACCCAGACAAGCGGGCAGTATAAAGTGTTCCAGGTTTACATGAGTAAACATTATTGGACTCAAATAGCATATCTTAGAGTCACACAACTGGTTTACCTTTCTCTGATGATTTTACCTGTAGCAGGATAAAATTTGTACTATCTTCAGAGAGGAGACCAAAGTAAACAGTATTTTAAAAGCCTTTCTTCCCTTCTTTTTTCCGTACCTGGACCTTAGGTTGGAAATTGTGATTGTATTGAATGTGAACATTGCTCAAGTCTTCATTGCAATGATTTCTTTACTAGACAAGAGTGCAACATTTAATTGTACCCACTGAAAGTGACCAGTTATGTCACTGCCAAGATAGCAGACTACAATATGCTGAGCCTCTCAAGATCCACTTAAAGTAGTGGGCCTTCTATCAGCTTCATGAGTGCTTCTTGATAAAACTGTCTCATCTCTCAATAAAGAGACTGAAAATATGTGTCCTAGTATGAAAATTTTAAACTAGAGTTGGGTTTATAGTTTCAGGGGTAGACCTCTTGCCAAGCAAGTACAAGGCATTGAGTTTAATCCCTGAAAACATGGAAGAAAAGAAAAAAAAATTATTGTTATTACTATTTACTAAACTATGTTTAGTGATTCATGCCTGGAATTCTAACACTTGAGAAGCTGAGACAGAGTCTTTGTGAGTTTGAGGCCAGTGTGGGCTACATAATGACATCATATCTAAAAACAAGCTAACTAGTTGAAGTAAATTAAAATACATTTGCTAGAATAGGGCAAGTGAAAACCTGTGTTAGTGATCATAATGACCAACTTAAAATCCTTCAACCCATGATTCCTGGGTTTTAAGAACTTATAAATTGTCCAGCACTGGAGCTCAGTGGATAAACTTGTTTGCCACCTGGTTGATGTCTGCATTTGATCCTGGAACCCACATGGTGGAAGGAGGAAACTCATTCATCCAAGGTGTCCTTTTCACTGTGGCATGCCCCCCCCCCAATAAATAACTGTCATAGTAATACAAAATGTTTATGAGAGAAAGTTAGCAGTTAAGCAGCAGGAGGTAGGTGCCTTCCTGACCTGGGAAACGGCATAGCCAGATGCTTTTTGTCAGTTACCATCATCCGGTGAGAAGATGGCTGTGTCAGATCTTGCTGAGATACTTTTTCTTTTGATTTTTTTTTTCAATTGAAATAGTGCCTTGTTACTGCTGGAGATTTTTTAATAGATAGTTAAGTTATTTGCTGTAATCAGTAGGTGCCTGTGAAACAACACAGCCTAAAGCCAGGTGTGGTGGTGTATGCCTGTGATCTCAGCACTCAGGAAGTAAAAAAAGATTGCCACAATCGGAGGTCAGCCTGGTCTAATGCATTCTAGGCTAGCCAGGGTTATGTTGGGAGAGCCTGTCTCAAACAGAGGGCAGAATCTAAGGTAGTTGTATCAGACACACACTTTTTTTTTTTTTGCCATTGGTATATTTTTAAAAATGAGGGAGGGTAGTTACTGTATTTTATGTATATGGATGTTTTGCCTCAATGTATGTCGGTATCCCATGTACATGCAGTGCCTGAGTGGAAAGAAGGATATTGGATCCTCTGGGACTGGAGTTACAAATGATTGTTAGATGCTGGGAACCAAACCCAGGTCCTCTGGAGGAGCAGTCAGTGCTCTTAACTGATGAGCCATCTCTCCAGCCCATTGATATATTTTCTCTCCAGCACTTACTCTCCTTTTGGCTCTAAGAAAACTAGCCAGGTCAATTCCAGTTTGATATTTTTATGTCCTACAAAGAAACTGGTTTCTTTAGCCATAGGCTTTTACCGTCTAGTTTTAGTAGACAGCCAACAGCAATAGCCTGTGTTGTTTGGGGGTCATCCCGTGACTTCGAAATTACAGGGAGGAACACCAGAATTGGCGTTGAGATTTGTGTTAATAATCTATGTCTTAAGCTTTTTTACCCTTACCCAAGCAAGGCATCTCCATTCAAAACATTTTATTTTTTTCTTTTAAGTGTTTATTTAATTAGTTTATAAAATAGTGGGTTCCTATAAGGCTCTTTATATATTTTTAGTGTTAGTTCACACACCTTCCAATCCCTCATCCTCCTCTCTGCCCCCATCCTTCCTCAGGCCTCTAATCCTCAATATTTTCATCCCCACTACTTTCATATAGCATGTGTTTTAGCTCCTAGTGTGCCCGCCCCCCCTCCTCCCCACCCCCCCTTTTCCCTTAGTTTTTCAAGACAAGGTTTCTCTGTGTAACAGTCCTGGCTGTCCTGGAACTCACTTTGTAGACCAGGCTGGCCTTGAACTCAGAGACATCCGCCTACCTCTGACTTCTATAGCTATTCCAAACTAAACATCTAGATGTAAAATTTTGAAGCTAGGATCCACACAAGAGAGAGTACATGTGATGTGTGTCTTTATGGACCTAAGTCACCTCTAGGCACACTTTCATATAGCATTCCTGTGGTGATAGTTTATTTGTATGTTAATAAATAAAATTTGCCTGGAGATCAGAGGACATAGAGAGCCAGCCATAAACAGAAGTCAGGTGGTAGTAGCACACACCCTTAATCCGATCACATGGCAGGCAGAGTCTCTGCGTTCAAGGACACAGCCAAGCATGGTGACATACGCCTTTAATCCCAGTACTAACCATAGAGACCTGGAGGTCTGTACAGACGGGCAGTGATGAGGAAATGAGGTGGCTGGGCTAAGAGCCAATGAGAAGGCAGAACAGCAAGGCAATAAAGGTGCAGGTTAGACAGGGAGAAGCTAGTTCTCTTGGGAAGCTACAGCAGCGAGGTAAGCTAAGGTTAGCTGGTGACTCTATTTCTCTGATTTCTTTGGCTATTATCCCTGTATTTGGCTCTGTGTTTCTTATTTAGTATGGTTTTGAGTTTTGTGAGACTTGATCTTTTTGTATAGCCCTGGCTGGCCTTGAACTTGGGGTAATCCTCCTGCCTCTGTTTTCTGAGTATGGGAATTACCAGTGCCTGTGCAGGTTTTTTTTGGTTTTTTTTTTTTTTTTTGGTTTTTCGAGACAGAGTTTCTCTGTGTAGCTTTGCGCCTTTCCTGGAATTCGCTTTGGAGGCCAGGCTGACCTCGAACTCACAAAGATCCGCCTGGCTGGGATTAAAGGTATGCACCACCACCGCCCAGCTTTTTTTTTTGAAGATTTTATTTATTTATCATGTATACAGTGAGTGTTCAGCCTGCAGGCCAGAAGAGGGCACCAGATCTCATTACAGATGGTTGTGAGCCACCATGTGGTTGCTGGGAATTGAACTCAGGACCTCTGGAAGAACAGCCAGTGCTCTTAACCTCTGAGCCATCTCTCCAGTCCCGCCTGTGCAGCTTTGATCTTAATCTTTTATTTAAAACAAACAGCTGGGCGCTGATGGCACACGCCTTTAATCCCAGCAGTTGGGAGGCAGAGGCAGGAGAATCTCTGAGTTTCAGGCTAGCCTGGTCTACAGAGTGAGCTCCAGGGCTACACAAAGAAACCTTGTCTTGAAAAACCTAAATAAATGAATAAATAAATAAAACCAAGATTTCCCCTCAGAAGTTCTGCCATTCCACGTTTTGGAGACATATAGCCCAGGGTGCCCTTAAAACTTGATGAAGAGGACCTGGAGGTGGCTCAGTGGTTATAAGAGCACTGACTGCTCTTTCAGAGGACCTGGGTTCAATTCCCAGAACCCACATGGCAGCTCACAACTGTCTAACTCCAGTTCCAGGGGATCTGACACCTTCACACCAATGCACATAAAGTTAAATAAATTAATAAAAAAACCAAAAAACAAAACCAACTTGCTGAAGATGACTTTGAGTTACAGGCAGCAATTATTCTTTATGAGCATTTGGGAAGTAAACACATTTACTAAAATTGGTTTCTTGGTCTTTGGGGTAATAGTTTCTTAGACCAAAGTGGAAAGTCTTTCTGATCACTGTCCTAATTAATTTTCCTCATTTTTTTTCTTTGCATCTATCCATTAATGTCCAGGAAGCCTGTCTAGCAGTCCAGAAGAGATGTCTGGAGCTGAAGAGGGAAGGGAAACATCCTCAGGTATTGAAGTAGAGGCCTCAGACTTGAGTTTGAGCTTGACTGGGGATGATGGTGGCCCCAACCGCACCAGCACAGAAAGTCGAGGCACAGACACAGAGAGCTCAGGTGAAGAAAAGGACTCCGATAGCATGGAGGACACTGGCCATTATTCCATCAACGATGAAAACCGAGTTCATGACCACTCAGAGGAAGAGGAAGAGGAACAGCCTCGGCACCGCGTACAGCGCAAACGGGCCAGCCGTGATCAGGACTCATCTGATGATGAGCGAGCCCTGGAGGACTGGGTATCCTCAGAGACAACAGCTTTGCCCCGACCTCGCTGGCAAGCCCTTCCTGCCCTTCGGGAGCGGGAGCTGGGTTCAAGTGCCCGCTTTGTGTATGAGGCTTGTGGGGCAAGAGTCTTTGTCCAGCGTTTCCGCCTGCAGCATGGGCTGGAGGGCCACACCGGTTGTGTCAATACCTTGCACTTTAACCAGCGTGGGACCTGGCTGGCCAGTGGCAGTGATGACCTGAAGGTGGTGGTGTGGGATTGGGTGCGGCGGCAGCCAGTACTGGACTTTGAGAGTGGCCACAAGAGTAATGTCTTCCAGGTAAGGCAAAAAGATGTAATAGCAACTTGATAAAAATCAAGCATGAGGGTAGACAAAGTTGAGTTGCTGCCTGGAGCAGAAGCTAGTAGCAAGTTGTGATTGGAATTAGATATAAGGACTTGATCCAGCCTTGACTCCATAGTGATAGACTGAGAGCCCTATGGCAGCCTTTTGTTTCCTTGCACATAAGGACTATTGTTAAGTCCCAGTATGGGTAGGATACTTGAAACTCCTATAGGTGTATCAGTACAAGGCAGTGTAGTAGAGTGCACAGGCTCCTGAACCAAACTGCTTAGTTTTCAGATCCTAGCCCTATGTAAGTCTGTACAGTTATTTACTTTGTACTTTGAGTTTATGTATCTATGAAATAGGGCTTGTAACACATCTTATCAGCACTAAATAACAGCATGTGCTAAGACTTTTGAGTACTCTCCAGTACTCAGGAAAAAGAAAACAAGGGGAGCTAAACACTTTTGATTCATGGCTGGTATGCATTTGATAAAATTTGGCTAATAATGATTGTTCTATGGAGATACTACACCTTAGTCCCATTGTCCATATATACTAGCCACTCATCCAAAAGCATGTCCTTTTTCTTTCTTCTTTCCAGGTTCCTTTCCCCTTGTGGCATATTTATGTTTGTTTGGTGGATGAAGATTTGTCCTTGTTCCTTGCTTTTCCCCCCTGTAAGGCATAGTTGCAGTTTACCAGTGTTTAATCACATAGTGTTCATCGTTCCAGAGCCATCCAGAATTCTCTTTTATGTCAGAAGTGGCTTCCTTTCTCTTCCTTTTAATTCTGGAAGGATTTGGGCTTAGCTGTCTGTACAGAGTAGGAAAGGTACATCCAGCTGTACGAGGGAAGAGTGACAAGGGGTCATCAACACATTTTTCTCTTAAATTTACCTCTTTAATTTCTTTTGTGTCCCTTTTTCATTCTTAATGCTCCAGGCCAAGTTCCTTCCTAACAGTGGTGACTCCACCCTGGCTATGTGCGCCCGGGATGGACAGGTCCGTGTGGCGGAACTCTCTGCTACACAGTGCTGCAAGAACACAAAGCGTGTGGCCCAGCACAAGGGAGCATCCCACAAGGTAAGAAAGCCCTTGTTCCCGGGGTTGTGGGTCCAGAGCCTCTGGGTCTCAGCCAGGTTTTCTCTTGTGTCCCCTCTGTTGTCTTCACCGCCTTCGTGCAGCCCCTAGGTTTGTTAAGAGGGGGACAAAACCGACTGTCCTAGAGTTCCTGAAAAACAAGTGTTTCAAAGACCTTCAGCTCATATGCTTACAAAATTTGGTTGATTATCCCTAGCCCCTGGCTGGGTGTGGTGGCTTACAGCTGTAACCCTAGTATTTGGAAAGCTGAGGCAGCATTGCTGTGAGTCAGGGCTAGCCTAGATTACAGAGTGAGACTGTCTTGAAAACCCCAAAATAAACAAACCTAGCCCCAAGCTGAGAGTGGTTAATTCAGAGATCCTGGAGTTCATGTGTCATTCTTAAACCTCTGAAGTTCACTCTGATTGTTTTTAGATCATTTTAATGGTTCCCAGGAGCTGGTGGTTGGGTTCCTCTGATAAGATTCCTGGTTTTTCTGCTCAGTAGTAGCCTATAAATAGCCATGTTATAGGAAGCTTTATGTAGAGCTCTGAGTACAGAATGGATAGTCATGGTGGTAGCCAGGGAGGCTGAGAGCTTCGCAGCCTCAGGATAGATTTGTGTTTTTCCTTGCAAAGGATGATACTCTTAAAAAAATCTAAGAAAATTTGGAGGAGACCAGAAGGCTCAAGAGAAATACCCACTTCTTTGATTTTTAAGTCTAGTTCCCACCCACTAGGTAACTAAGTTTTAGAGTTAAGATACAGGGACTGAAAAAGAAAGGCATTTCTATATTATTTGTCTGCATGCCTGAATGTAATGGACTTTATTTTAGAATCAAGTCCTTTTTGGTTTTTTGAGACGGGTTCTCTGTATAGCCCTGGCTGTCCTGGAGCTTACTATGTTGACCAGGCTGGCCTTGAACTCAAAGAGATTCACCTGCTTATGTCGGGAGTGTTGGGATTAAAGGTGTGTGCTACCATGCCTCGCTTAGACTAAACTTTTTTTTTAAGATTTTATTTATTTTATGTACACGAGTGCTCTATCTGCATGTACACCTTTATTCTAGAAGAGGGTATCAGATCCCACTATAGATGGGTGGGAATCAAACTCAGGTTCTCTGGAAGAGCAGTCAGTGTTCTTAACAGCTGAGTCATCTCTTCATCTCTCTCTCTTTTTTTTTTTTTTTTTTTTAGATTTATTTATTTATTGTGTATACAGAAGAGGGCACCAGATCTCATTACAGAAGGTTGTGAGCCACCATGTGAGTGCTGGGAATTGAACTCAGAACCTCTGGAAGAGCAGTGGGTGCTCTTAACCTCTGAGCCATCTCTCCAGCCCCATAATAAATTGAATGTTTTTTGTTTGTTTGTTTGTTTTTTTTTTTTAATCTAATTTTTAAATCCACCCCCCAGCTGAGAACTGAACCCAGGGCTTTGCGCTTGCTAGGCAAGCACACTACCACTGAGCTAAATTCCCAACCCCTTCCATCTCTCTTAATAGTTGTTTTCCTTTGCTTTTGGGATTTGGTTAAAATAACAGATTACCTGTCCTATGTCCTGTATAGAATAAATGTACTATTAATTCACACAGTAAGAGTGAGTGAGGCCTAAATTATTTCCCTTAGGATTTCTTAAAGGTTTATTACGTATAGTGTTCTGCCTGAATGTGTGTCTGCACACCAGAAGAGGGAACCAGATCTCGTTACAGATAGTTATAAACCACCATGTGCTTGCTGGGAATTGAACTCAGGACCTCTGGAAGGGCAGCCAGTTCTCTTAACTGCTGAGTCTTCTCTCCAGCCCCCTTCTTCCCTTCTTAGGATTTTTATAAAAACAAACAAACAAACAAAAGTACACATTTTACTTGCTAAGACTTTTGTTCTTTTTTTTTTTTTTTTTTTTTTTTTTGAGACAGGGTTTCTCTGTGTAGCTTTGGTGCCTGTCCTGGATCTCACTCTGTAGACCAGGCTGGCCTCGAACTCACTGAGATCCGCCTGGCTCTGCCTCCTGAGTGCTGGGATGAAAGGCGTGCACCACCACTGCCTGGCTAGGACTTTTTTTTATTTTTATTTTTGAGACATGGTTTCACTATATAGACCAGGCTGCCCTTGAACTCACAAAGATCTTCCTTCTAGAACCTCCCAAATTGGGATTAAAGGTGTGTACCTATCATGCCTGGCCTGCTAAGACATTTTAATTGCTTCCCTTCTGAAAGGTAAGTCAGTGAACTAGATTCCCTCTAATGTTTAGAAACCACACCCTTTCCCTTTCTTTCCTTCAGTTGGCCCTAGAACCAGACTCTCCCTGTACGTTCCTGTCAGCTGGTGAAGATGCTGTTGTCTTCACCATTGACCTGAGACAAGACCGGCCAGCTTCGTAAGTTTAGCCATAATACCTTTTTTTGAAGATTTGTTGTAGTTTTAACCAGGTGGTGGTAGGGCACACCTTTAATCTCAGCACTCGGGAGGCAGGGGCAGGTGGATCTCTGAGTTCGAGGCCCGCCTGGTTTACAGATCAAGTTCCAGGACAGCCAGGGCTACACAGATTTGTTTTATTTTTATACTTGATCTTAGCCAAAAGGCCTAGAAGTGATGATTTATTTTATTTTCCATTTTGTATATGGGTGTTTCTGTGGGGGTATGTACACATGAGTACAGATGTTTACAGAGGCCAGAGGCTTCTAGACATTACCCTAGAAGCTAGAGTTGCAGGTGGTTATGACCCACCCAACATGGATGCTGGGAGCCAAACTCTGGTCCTCTGCAAAAGCATTATGTACTCTTAAGCTCTGAGCCATCTTTCTAGCTGGTAGTCACATTTTCTTTGCAGAATGCTTATTTCTTGGCCTTAAAAATGTTCCACATGTCATAGTAATGTTGAACTCTTAGGTTCACCAAAATATAGTACCTTTAAGCCTATGTTTGATAAGAGATAGCTTCAGGTTTTGGAGAGGTCCTTACTTCCTGTGTGTTTCTTTCTTTTTTAAAGATTTATTATGTATAGTGTTCTGCCTGCATGTGTGCCTGCATGCCAGAAGAGGGCACCAGATCTCATTATAGATAGTTGTGCTGGGAATTGAGCTCAAGATCTCTGGAAGAGCAGCTAGTACTCTTAACCTCTGAGCCATCTCTCCAGCCCCGTGTCTGTTCCTTAGCATGAAATGTCTACCCTACCTTAATTTTCAGAGAAAGCTCCCTTTTTTAGGTAGATTTTTTTCGAGACAGGGTTTCTCTGTGTAGCTTTGCGCCTTTCCTGGGACTCACTTGGTAGCCTGGGCTGGCCTCGAACTCACAGAGATCCGCCTGGCTCTGCCTCCCGAGTGCTGGGATTAAAGGCGTGCGCCACCACCGCCCGGCTTTTAGGTAGATTTTAATAATTTGGTAATCTTGTGTTCTCCACTCACTTAGTACCTCCGTTTAGCTTACCAGAAGAAGCACATTACTCCACAGTCTAGCTTAGAGGTATAGTCTTGTAAATGTTCAGTTAAATTACATACAGAAAAATAAAGGGTAAGTCTTGAAAATAAGATCGATGCTGTAATAGAGTTTTGTTATACTATAGACAATTTGTACATGGAAATCCTTTTTCCCTTTTAACTGTGTAATGCCATAGAAAAACAAAGCAACTTTTTTTGGTAATTTTTATTTTACTATTATTTTGTGTGTGTGTGTGTGTGTGTGTGTGTGCGCGCGCGCGCGCGCAGCGCGCGCGCGCGCGCACGCACCTGTGCGCACGCATGTCCCATGGTATATGGAGGTCAGAGGACAACTTTGTGGAGTTGGTTCTCTCTTTCTCCCTTTCTGTGGATTCTAGGGATTGAACTCAGGTCACCAGGCTTGCACATCAAGTGCCTTTACCCACTGAGCCATCTCTCTGGTTGAAAAACACCAAGTCAAATCTCAATCTAGTCATTACTAGTTAAATAACTTTATATAATCTTCTGAATTCCAGTATCTTTGGTTATATCTCTCTCCCTTTCTAGAAATCCTGTAATACATACATACATTGCATAATACATACATACATACATACATGCATACATATGTTGTCTGTTTTCATTTTTGTTGGTTTTACAATAATTACATCTTAAACTCATAATAAAAATACATAGACACAATAGAAATGTTCCCTATGTATCTTTTCCCATTTTTTTTTAGCTATTGATAAAAATTGTTAGTAATTTTGAATGCTTTCCAGTCACTTGAATATGGTTATGTGTGAGTATATGTGACTTTTTCCTCCTAGTAGCTGCTTTTCCATGATCTCTATAATTCCCCCCCCCCCCCCCCCCCCCCCCCCCCCCCCCCGTAAAGATAAAGTCTCCTGTAGCCCAGGCTGGCCTAGAACTCACAGTTTATTCAAGGATGACTTTGAATTCCTGATGATCTTACTTGATGTATACCACCATGCCTGGCATCTGTATTCTTTTAATGGAAAGCTGTATAGATTTTAAAATCAAAATCTCATTGTCCAGAACAGTTCTAGGCTGGAGTGACTTTGACCAGGCAGAGAGAATGCTAAAAGTACTTCTTTACAAAGAAATTTGTTATGGCGGCTGTCTTTTTCTTGTTTCCATTTCCATTATTCCAAAATGAATAAAAGCTTAAAATTAAAAAAAAAAAAAAAAAAGCTGAGTTGGGTTCCTCTTTTTGTTTTTAATGATTTATTTATTTTTATTTTATGTGCATTGGTGTTTTGCCTGCATGTCTGTGTGACAGTGTCAAGATCCCCTGAAACGAGTTGCAGACAGTTGTGAGCTGCCATGTGGGTGCTGGGAACTAAACCCGGGTTCCTTGAAAGAGCAGCCAGTGCTCTTAACCTCTGAGCCATCTCTCCAACCCAGGTTCCTCTTAATAAATAGTTTCTTGATGTCTTTCCTGTAAGTTTATTAATCTGTATGATATCATATTTGGTAAATTGACAATTAGATCTAGGACAAGTTCTGTAAGAACTACTCTTATGTGAGATAAATTATGGCTGGTTAGCTAAATTCTTGTAACCAAGGGGTTCTCTTAGGGCCCGGTGACATGAGGATCATCAGAAGGATCGTCTGTGTTGCAACCAGAGGAATTTTGAAGTGCTTTTTTAGTTTATACATATTTATCTTCATAAATCCATTCTCTGCTAATTTGCTTCAGATGAGAGGAAAGGATGCTGTTTTCTTTAGGATTACTTATGTTCTAGAAATCGATAGCTCAGTTTTTAAATGTGTATGTGTTGGTTTAATTTTGAAATTGCGTTTATTTGTGTGTATGCATGCGTAATGCACATGTACAGGTCAGACATCAGTTTGAGGGAGTTGGTTCTTTTCTTCCACCATGTGGGTCCTGAGGATCGGACTCAGGTTGCCAGGCTTGGTAGCAAATGCTCTTACCCACTGAGCCGTCTTGCTGGCACCCATTTTTTTTTTTTTAATTATCTTTGTTTGCGTACTTATTTATGTGTATACACATTTGTGCCAAGGTGTGCATGTGAAAGTCAGAGGACATCTTGAGGGAGTTTCTTCTTTTCTTCCACCATGTGGAACCTGAGGCTCAAACTCAGTTTGTCAAGCATGGCAGTGAGCCCACTTATCCGCTGGGCCATTTGCCAGCTTTCCATCTTATCTTCCTGTATGGTCTCACTGAATTTGGAGCTCACCAGTTTGGCAAGACTAACTGGCCAGCAAGCTTTGGTGGTGATCGCCCTTTGTCTGCCTCCCCAGCACTAGGGTTAGAGGTGCACATCTTCACATCTAGCCGCCTTCTTTGTGGGAGCTCTGGCTCGAACTCAGTATGGCAGACATTTCACTAATGAATCCATCTCTCCAAACCCAAAGCCAGGCTTTTGGTGACCTTTTTTTTTCCCCCTAAAAATTGGGAGCTAGCCTTTGATCTCTAGGACTTTTTAGCTCACTGTTGCTGTGGTTCTTCCAGCACTCCTTGTGTCTCCAGGTACCTGGTTTCATGTTCTCTAAGGCATAGCACACTCATTCACATGCTTTTAGCTTACACTTAATTTTTAAAATTTACTTAGTATTTTATATGTTTGGGTATTTTGCCTACATTTATGTCTGTTTACTACATATGTGCAGTGCCTGGAGAGGCCAGAAAGGACATTGGATCCCCTAGAACTGGAGTTACAGACAGTAGTAGGCCACTATGTGGGTGTTGATAATCAAACTCAGGTCCTCTGGAAGGGCAGACAGTGCTCTTAACCACTGAGCCATCTCTTCAGCCCCAGCTTGTATTTTTTATTATTTCATATACATTATACAAAATGATGGATTCATTATTACATCAAGTACATATAATGTGCTTCAATCAAAGTCACCTCTAGATTCTTCTCTTACCCCCTAAAGCATCTTCCTTTCCCTCATAGTCTTCCTCATATTTCTTCCTTTTTTAAAGACAAGGTCTCATGGGACCCAGGCTTGCCATTCATTCTTTAGATGGCCAAGGATAACTTCAGCTCCTGATCTTGCCTCTATCTTCTGAGTGCTGGTATTTACAGGCCATGTGCCACCTACCCAGATTATGTGGTGCTGAGGATTGAAGTCATGGCTGTGCATTGGCTGAGAAATCAAAATTTTTCTGCCTCTACCTTCTAAGTGCTGGGATTACAGACATGCCGTGATGGCAGCCTTTTCTCGTTCTTGTGTTTTCTTTTTCTCTTATTTCATCATGGAGAAAAGCATGCAGTATGTCTTTATGACTGGTTTAATTACTTACCATGATAATTTCCAGCTTACTCTCCTCAGACAACACTAGAAAATTACTTCATGTTTTCCCCCAGTCTTCAAAATAGCATGGTGCATTTTATTTTGTTATTCAGAACAAAACAAAAAACACCACCTACTTTTTTTGGTACAGATTAGAATTTGATTTCTTATTAGTCATGTCTGCATTTGCTCTGCTGATTTTTCGTTTTTCATGACCATCTTGGGTCTTTTAGGTTTTGGGGGTGGGTTTGCTGGGGGAAAGGGGCATTTTTCACTAACCCAGATTGGCCTGGAAGTCACTGTAGCTCATGCTGACTGACTTGAGTGCTGGGATTCCAGATCTGAGCTACCGTGCTGAGCTCCATCTGGGTCTGACTGTATGCCTTTTTTCCTCTTTGAAGGAAACTGGTGGTGACAAAGGAGAAGGAGAAGAAGGTGGGGCTGTATACAATCTATGTGAACCCTGCCAATACCCACCAGTTCGCAGTCGGCGGGCGAGACCAGTTTGTACGGTGAGTGTCGGTCGTTTGTGTCTTTGGGAGTTGGAGACTCAGGCATGGTGTATATTGCCAGATACTCCCCAGTGCTAAGTTCGCAAATTGTAGGAATTCATTAACTACCATGTTGATCTTTTTATCCTTTTGGAAATGCTCAAGCACCTTCTGAGACATTTTGATCCCTATGACAACAGCCTGAGGAATTTTATATTATGGGGATTATTGTTTTTTAAAATTAGTATATTTTATTTGTATTTTGTCTGCTTGTATATAACTGGGCACCATGTTCATGAATGGTGCCCGAGGAAGCCAGAAGAAAGTGTTGGATCTTCTGGGACTGGAGTTAGAGATGATTGTTGGGCACTGTTTGGGTGCTGAGAATTGAACCTGGTCCTCTTAACTGCTATGCATCTTTTCAGCCCTGGGATTATCACATTTTAAAGAAGATTGATAAATTTGTCCCACATAGTGGCTAAGACATAAACTCATATGTGTTTTCCACGATTTTCCTATATAAATTAACATTGTACTAGCAGTCTTTTCAAATAATTTAAATTTAATTTTAGTATTATCTGTGTGAGTATGATGTATATATGAGGGGTGTGTGCTATAGTGCACATTAGCATGCGTGTAGAAGTCACGGGACAACTTGGGAGTCACTTTGTCCTTTACACTTGTTGGGGAATCAAACTCAGGTTGTGAGGCTTGCATCATTGAGCAGCAAGTGTGTTTACCCAGTTAATCATCTTGACAGCTCTGCACTAGCAATTGGAGCACTGGTTAGATTTAGTAAAAAATTGGCTTGGGAGCACTCTGTAACTGAGGGTTTGTGTTTCTGTTGTCCTGAACCACTTTTCTTTATCTGTAGTAATATCTTTGTTACTGTGAACATCTGTTTTTCATACTGGCTATTGAGACACATCCTAAGGGAAAACAGACATCATCATTCTTTCAATCCCCATTGTACCAGTTGTTTTCCTTCTGACCTTATTCCCTAGCTAGCCAGCTGCTGTATTTTAACTACATTTCTTTGGGATTGTCAGTTTGAAAAAGGAGGGACGGCATAATTAGAAAAATTATGTTTTGTTTTTCTGTTCTGCTGGTAGTTGAAAAGTGACATCTTCTTTTGGAATGAAAGCACACTTTTTTAAACTATTTTTAAATTACCTGTATGAATTAGAATGATGAGATAAGTTTTCAGAACATATATGACCTACTTTGTTCAAGAGTTCTGGATAATTTGTTACTCTTTCAAAATTTATTTCTTTCAGTCAAGAGTCTTTCAATATATAGTAATATTTTGTGTATTTATTTTGTGTGTACATCATGGTGTGCCTGGTGCCCAGAGAGGCTAGAAGAGGGCTTTGGGTCCCCTAGAAGTGGAGTTGTAGGTGGTTGTGAGCCACCATGTGGGTGCTGGGAATCAAACCTGTGTCCTCTGCAAGAGCAACTAGTGCTCTTAGCTGCTGGCCCATCTCTCTAGCCCCCTATTATTTTTATATAAGATGCTGTTGATCAAAAAGGCTGTTGTCAGAGCTTTCTGGGTTAAACTCCAAGTTTAACTTTTTTTTTTTTTTTTTTTTTGGTTTTTTGGTTTTTTTCGAGACAGGGTTTCTCTGTGTAGCTTTGCGCCTTTCCTGGAACTCGCTTTGGAGACCAGGCTGGCCTCGAACTCACAGAGATCCGCCTGCCTCTGCCTCCCAAGTGCTGGGATTAAAGGCGTGCGCCACCACCGCCCAGCCAAGTTTAACTTCTAGTTGGGGTTTTTTTTTTTTTTTTTTTTTTGGAGAAATAGATTGCTTGAAAAGTCTCTGTTATGGAGAATTTAATCACTAGGACCAAGAGGTTTAAAGAGAAAATGATGAGTTGGATGTATTGACTTATTCCGAAGATCTTAGTAAAGTTCCAGTGCCCTATTCCACAGCTTATAATTTCCCAAAGCTAAAGTTGGGCTGAGAATTGTTTTTATTTTATGTGGATTGGTGTTTTGCCTGCATGCATGTACGTCTGTGTGAGGGTTATCGGGTGCCCTGGAACTGAAGTGACAGATAGTTCTGAGCTACCATGTGGGTGCCGGGAATTGAACCTGGGTCCTCTGAAAGAGCAGTTAGTGCTCTTAACCACTGAGCCATCTCTCCAGCTCCGGGCTGAGAATTGTTATAGTATTTCAGCAGAGGAATAAAATACTCAGATCTTTCCTTTTATCAGCTTCCGTGTTTTCAGTCTCTTTGTGTGCCCCAGTTTCCTAGCAGATGGTAGCCTACTTCCTTGTCAGGAGTACATACAGATTTTGAGCCACACTGATTTCTACATGAGTAGAGAGTCCTATCAGCACCTAGGTCTTCTTTGATATTATACTCAGCTCAACTTCTCTGGTACTTTTTCAGTTTGGCTAGCTGAATGTTGAGTTCACTTATTTTCGGATACAAGTTTGAAAAGATTTGTACCAAATACTATATGTAATGACACCATTGCTTTTACTACTGCAATTTTCTTTCAAGAAAGAAGCAAGGAATACAGAGAGATAGCCTACTCGACCTCAAGGTTTCACATAATTATTATTTTATTTTAGGGTTATGAAAACACATTTAAAGGAAGGTTTAGGGAGGCATACTTTTTGACCTAAAGCCAAAGCAAACAAAAACAAAGAAGAAAAGAAGTTAACAAATGTAGAAAAGAAATTGTCAAATGGAGTCAATATGAGTGTGAGTCCCTACTATTAAATTCTACTTAGATTGATTGAAGAGTTTAGAGGAGTGCAGTGATAGAGCACTTGTCTATCATGTTTGATTCCCTGGATTGGATCCCCAGCATTAGAAAGAAAAAATATACTTACCTAGTAAAGAAAAGTATATGGGAGTTTGGAGGTAAATTTGATAGTTTACTTGGTTGATTTGTAAACTTATTGTTCTAAGATTTTGAGCTAGGCTCTGGTTCATAAGGCACAATTAATACATAGTCCTCATGTCCTTAGGTTGAGAATAACGCATTAGAAGAACATCAGATTAAGGTCTAATAGGGGAGAGGGGTCTAGGGTAGCAAGTTAGTGGTTGCCAGGAAGCTTACAGAGAGAGTGCAGTATAGGCTTTGAGAAGGGTGCTGGGGGATAGTTAGTTACTAAGGTACTTGCCACACAAGCAAGTTTAGATCTTGAGTTTAGATCCTCAGCATTCATAAGCTGGATGTTGTGGTGCACACCTGTAATCCCAGCACTGGAGAGGAGAGACAGACAGATCCCTGGGGCTTGCTATCTGTCCATTCCAACTGAATTGGCAAGCCCAGGTCCAGAAAATAGCAGAAAACTTTGTACTCATCTTTTTTATACTACTATCTTGTACAGGGCCTGGTAAATTGTGCTGGCCTTCTTATTCCGGATGGTGGTGGTGGTGGTGGTGGTGGTGGTTGTTGAAGTAAAGTTTTACCACTTAATGGTTAAGAGTGAAATGCCATTTTTCAAGAGGACTACAGTTCAGGTCCTAGCATCCATGCTGGGTGGCTCACAACTGCCTGTAATTCTAGCTCTAGGAGATCCAGTGCCCTTGTGTCTGTAGGCACCTGAATTTATATGCACATACCCACTCTAGTCATACACACATACACATAATTAAAGATAAATCTTTTTTTAAGGAAAGTTTTACTGGAACACAGCCATGACTATTTATTTTTGTATTGCCCATCAGCATGGTAGTGGTCAGGTAGCAGAGTTCAGTTATGATAGACTTGGTAGCCTGCCAGGGTTTTCTGTCTTGCTCTTTAAGAGTTTGCCAAACGGGGCAGTGGTGGTGAATGCCTTTAATCACAACACTTGGGAGGTAGAGGCAGGCAGATCCCTGTGAGTTTGAGGCCAGCCTGGTCAGGCACCAAAACTACACAGAGAAACCCTGTCTGAGGGGGGGTTGCCAATTCCTGGTCTAGCATCCTATTTATGATTGGAGGAAAAGAAAAATATAGTATCTCTTAAAAGACAAAGAACAAAGAATATTGGGTGCTGAGGAACCCAAAGTAGTCCATTTACCATATAGCATCCCATGGACCTTGAGTATTTAATACTTTTCACTAATTTGCTGACTTACTAAATTTGGTGTGTGAGTGTGTGTGTGTGTGTGTGTGTGTGTGTGTGTGTGTGTGTGTGTGTGTTTGAGACAGGGTCTCACTGTAGCCTTGGCTAGAGTGATCTGTCTGCCTGCCTTTGCCTCCTGAGTACTAGGATTACTAGGATTAAAGTATGTGCAATCATGCCGGGCTATTTACTGAATTTTTTAATGGGTTAGTGATATTTGAGCTCTGTTAATTTACCTTTTTTTTTTTTTTTTTTTTGGTTTTTCGAGACAGGGTTTCTCTGTGTAGCTTTGCACCTTTCCTGGAACTCACTCTGTAGTCTAGGCTGGCCTCGAACTCACAGAGATCCTCCTGGCTCTGCCTCCCGAGTACTGGGATTAAAGGCGTGCGCCACCACCGCCCGGCCTACCTTTTTTTTTTAAGAGTTTTGATTTAAACTTAGTTGAAAGAAAAAAATTGACAGTTGATAAATTTATTTAGGAGTAATATAACCACTTTTCTGTGTTGGTGCTTGTGGCTTCATTTAGTAAACATTTCCTGGGTATTCTCTTTATGCCAAATGTTTAGCTATTGCCAGGGATACATTGATTCATTTATTAGCATGTATTGTATAGGAAAATATGTAAAGTACATGTAACTTACCCAGTATTATTTGAGTGAGTAAATAGTAGGTAATATTTAACTCAAGTCTAACTACAGAAAGAATTAAAGACAATTGGGTAATTAGTATTTTAGGTAAAAAGAACAATATAGGTAGAGCTATGGTAGTAATTAAGTTGTGGCAGTGTAATTGCAAGAAACGTGGAAAAGGCTTTCCTTCCTTCTTTTTTTGAGACAGTGTCATATTCATATATATATATATATATATATATATATCTCAGGCTAGCCTTGTACTCTGTGTAGCTGTGGCTGGCCTTAAACTCTTACTCGTGCCTTTGTTTCCCACATGCTGGGATAGTAAGTGTGGGCTACCACTCTAACTTGACCATAGGTTTGTTGTTGCCTTTGGTTTGTTTGGGAGTGATGGATAGGATCTTGAGAAAGTCATAGTTTGGATGTCATGTGTAGGGTCTTGAGGAAGCTATAGGTAACCATTCTAAGAAGTTTGAGCTTTTGTTTCCAGTAAAGTGTTCAGAAATTACTGAGGAGATTTAAACAGGGAACTTACATAAAGTTTTGCATTTTGTTTAAAATTATGTTGGCAACATGAGCAGGAAAATCAAAAGGAATATCAACAGTAGTGTAAGCAAAATAAGATGGAAGTAAGTGGGAAAAGCAGATAGAACCAAAACAGTATACCCAGAGGGGAGGAACTGACAAGAAAATTATTTATACAAGAGAGAAAAGACCTGGGGAGGAGTGGGGGATGAATACGATAAAAAACAAAACACATCAAATACATAAAAATAAGTTTTAAATGAGACCGAGACAGAGACCTGGTATCTGGTGTGGTCATTTGTGTTAAGGATAGTGTCATTAACAGATTGAGGGGTTAGGGATAGGTTTAGAGAGAGTTTAATTTTGGAAGGAAAACGAGTTTGCTTGGGCAACCTAGTATAATATGTGGTTGTTAAGTAGATGTTATAGATGTTAAGTCTGGAGTAAGAGGTTTAAAATAGGTTAAATAGTAAAACCTTTAAAATAGGTTTCCAGATGTAAGGAGCTAGCGGTAGTTAAAGCATGTTAATAGAATTTCCTCATCAGAAGTAATTTCCCCATATCTATAAAGGATGTATTCCCTGGTGTTAGCTTTGAACCCCTGGATAGTAATAAACCCGAAAGGTACTAGTTTTTGTTTTGCTTTGTTTCTCATCTATACCTATGATAGTTTGTAAATTAGGCATAGTGATTGATGAACAGCAATGACTAATAGTAAAGTAGAGTGTTATAGAAATACTGTAGTGATAGGCCGGGCGGTGGTGGCGCACACCTTTAATCCCAGCACTCGGGAGGCAGAGCCAGGCGGATCTCTGTGAGTTCGAGGCCAGCCTGGGCTACCAAGCGAGTCCCAGGAAAGGCGCAAAGCTACACAGAGAAACCCTGTCTCGAAAAACCAAAAAAAAAATAAAAAAAAGAAAAGAAATACTGTAGTGAAAGTTATTAAAACTGATGAGTTGTTTTGTTTTGTTTTTCTGGACTTTTTCATTCAGCATTTTGACTAGTTGACTACAGGTAACTTCAGGAGATTCAGGTGGTTTGGGGCTAGTTTTTGTGGCCTATGAGAGGGAGAACTAGCCAAATAAAAGTTCAAGGAAGGAGGGGTGGAGAGATGGCTCAGCAGTTATGAACACTTGCTGTTCTTTCCGAGGATCTGGGTTCCGTTTCTCCCACTCACATGGCAGTTCACAACCATCTGTAACTCCAGTTCTCTGGAGCCTGGCACTCGATTCTGGCCTCTGCAGCACTGCACTCATACATGTGATGCATATGCATACATACATGCAGGCAAAACACTCATACACATAAATAAAAAAAACTTCAAAGGACTTAAGACCCACTTACATAAAATATGGCCTTTGCTCATGAATAATAAATGCTTTGAGATAAGTAACATATATATAAAAGTGTGATTATTAATTGCTTCAGTGAAATTAAACCATAAATGGGGCTTGAGTGATGGATAGTTCGTCTATAAAATGTGGGATATGATGGTGCTTACTTGCAATCCCAGTGCTGGAGAAGCAGAGCCAGGAGGATCCTTGGGGCTTGCTTACCAGCCAGTCTAGCATCATTGATGAGCTCCAGGACAATGAGAAACCCTTTTGTAAAGGATGTGGATGGTGTTCCAAAGGATGACACCCAAAGTTGTCCTCTGGCTTTCACATACATGAAACATACCACCACTAAAATAAACAGTCAATGATGTAAAACTTGACAAGCCACTCCAAATGGATGTAATTGAGGATTACTGCTTTTTGAAAAATACCTGGATAAGGCAAAGTTTGGAAATAGATTAGAGAGGGGAACACGTTTCCTGAAGAGAAGAAAGCGCAAGCTTGATTAGGAAAGAGCCTCTGTCTTAACAGCTCCGCAGGGATGACTGTGTAAGTTTTGACACTTTCATTGCTTCTTTCATTAAAGGATTTATGACCAGAGGAAAATTGATGAGAATGAGAATAATGGAGTGCTAAAGAAATTCTGCCCTCATCACTTGGTAAGATCCATGAAGACCAGTGGCTCCTGACTTCCTAGACTTCATCCTGAGCTGCCTCCAAACTTATTGGCATAATGTGAAGAGTTTGGGGTTTGAAGTCAGACAGATTGTAATTCTGGTTTTCTTACAAGTTTTCTGATCTTAGGCAGCCAGTTGACCTAATTTAGCCTCAGTGTTCTCAACAGCAAAATGGAGATTGGCACTGTCATGGTGGCCTAATGAGATAATGCATCTGAAATGGCTAGCACACAGAAGAGAGCCAAGACAGGGCCTCACTAAGACTCCTTGAGGTGGACATGTTTCCTCAGTTATGTACCTCACTCTTACTCTCTCTTACCCCTCCCTTCCTTCTTTCTATTTATCTCCTGTTTGTCTATCTCTGGGAAAAAATACAGGGGAGTTTCTAGAAACACCTGTTCCTGAAGTTGATAAAACCAATGGGGTGGGGGTGGGGGCATCAGTCAGTATCTGCTCCTTATTGCAGGTGAACAGTGAGTCCAAAGCAAACATCACCTGTCTTGTGTACAGCCACGACGGCACAGGTACGTGAGCAGGGCCCAGCTCCTAGGCTGGCAAGCCTCCCCTGTCGAGGGAGCTGCTGAGTCAGTGAAGCATGTGCTCTGCAGTGTTCACCACTGTACTGCAGCTCCAAGTGGAACCGCTGAGACTAGTTCCTGATGGTGAGCATGTAGTGGGAGGATACAGCAGACGACCCTTGGAAATGCTTCAGATGACATTTCACAGGCTTGTCCTGAAGCCTAGGCTACTAGCCTAAGCAGGTTCTAATGCCTTTGATTCCTTAGTAAGTTAGAGGGTGTGATCTCCTGAGTGTTCTACTGGTACCCCAGGGCTGGTAATGTGTTCATCGTAGACCCTATGTAACCTTACCTGCCTGCCGTTCCAAACTAAGTAAGATGGGTGCTAAGAGGACCCACTACCAGCAAGAAGCCCCATTTCAGACAACCCCCCACCCCCACCCCACAAATCTCCTAGTTTCTGCATTTTTCAGCCTTTGCCTTCACTGCTGTGTTCTTGTTTTTGGCAGAGCTCCTGGCCAGTTACAATGATGAAGACATTTACCTTTTCAACTCTTCTCACAGTGATGGGGCCCAGTATATTAAGAGATATAAAGGTCATAGAAATAATGCGACAGGTGAGTCTGCTTTTTTCTGTTTCTGTGACTCAAGTCACATTGAAAACCTACGTTATCTTATTCCCATTGTGTAGATGGGAACTACCTAAGGAGTAGGCTGCCTGAGTCAACTTGGGCAGTGTGAGGTTATGCCTAGTTGGGCTGGAATTTTCTTTTTTCCAGTGTGATTCGGGGCAGTGATGTTGCCTCCAGTTGGTTAAGCATGAAGCTAGACTTTACTTTCTGTGATTTCACGTACTATAGAGTAGGCACAGAGGTCCTTTTAGAAAGTCAGAGAAAGCTGTAGTGCTGAATTACATAGACTGTGTAAGATGGTATCTTTAGAGGGAGAGAAAGGAATGATTCTTTTGAATAAAGCAAAGTAGGGAGGAACAGTGGTGGTATCTAGCCTAAGTTTCCAGTGAAGAGGGCTTTGTAGTTCTCTGTCTGTGGTTCCCAAAAACTGGGCTCACTGGACTCCCCTCGGTCTCTTAATAAGAGAGCACTGATGCCTGTCTCGCCCCCCCCCCCCCCACATTTGATTCAATTGGTGCTGGGTTCAGCTGGAGCGTTGTAGTTTTGAGTGTACTGATGGGTTCTACTGTAGAGAAGAAGGTAGGCGGTTACCGCACTTGGTTGGTACCACTCCTCCCAGCTGTCTGTCAGCATTCAATGTGGAGACAGGAGTAACTCTTTCTCTTGACTGGTAAGAAGGAAAAGGGGGCAGAGTTCTGTATTTGGATTTCATTATGTGGGCAAGCAAAAGGAAAAGTGTCAGTATTGTGGCGGGTATGTGGAGCTGGTTCTAATAGTTGGACTCCTGTCTTTTACAAATTCTAAAGATTTGGGCCCTTTTACTGAAGTCTGATAGTGAGCATAATCAGGTGCTTCTTATAGGTGACTGTGCCATGTACCTTCGTTAATCTCAGATCAGCTGATGACCTAAGAAACACTGACTGGGTATACCAAGAATAATCCTAGGGCCTAAGAGTGGGAAGAGCTGAAATAAATCAGGTTGGGACAGATAGGGCATTAGTTTGAGGCCTATACCTGATAAAGTATCATTGAAGCAGACTGTTGCCCATGGACAGAAGACTCCTGATAGATCTCTTTGGAAGATAGTCTCTGGGATGGTGTGATTCTTAGTATAATTATCTATCACACACATACTCTCTTGATTTATTTTGTAGAAATGAAAAGAGTTATTTGGCATTCAGCTGACTCAGTTTGTAAATTACTAAGTTCTCAGTGAGGTAAGTAAATACAGGCCCAGTGCCAACCCTTATGTGGTCTCTTCCCCATTTATCCTTTCAGTAAAAGGCGTCAATTTCTATGGCCCCAAGAGTGAGTTTGTGGTGAGCGGTAGTGACTGCGGGCACATCTTCCTCTGGGAGAAGTCCTCTTGCCAGATCATTCAGTTCATGGAGGGAGACAAGGGAGGTGTGGTAAGTATGGTGTCGCTGGACTGGCTGGCCCTAGTTTCTTAGGTCAAAAAGGTAGGTCTTATGTGGACCACTGGATTTTCACTACATGGTCCCATGTTTTAGAGTTCCATACAGCTAAATTAAAGGTATTATGCCTTGTGGGTGCAGAGGTTTTTGATGGAATACTTTCTTCTATTCCTTCCTTCTGCCCTTACAAGGCATAGTTTATTGAAAAGAAGAAAGGGTTTTAGGAAGAATTTATAGCCTGAACAAACACATGGGCTTTTTCCAAAAAAGAAGACATTAGTTCAGGACAAACCCTCCTATACAATGTCAAAACAAAATGTCTCCTGCCTTGGCTCTAAGTAAGCCAGGCAGCGACCCTGGCTGACTCCTGGATCGGCAGAGAAAAGCTAGAGAAGCACATTTATTTTTCTTGTATTTATTTTTAGAAGAAACATTTTTTGAACATTCAGGGAAATAAGTATGGTTTGTAACTTACGACATGGTATTCAATATTTAATTTATTTGATGTACTGTTTAGGAGAATATCCTTGTACTTAACAGATGCATGCTGTATTTAGGGAGAAAGTACCACACCTATTGTCATGGATATAAATACACATAATGTACCTGTATATATGTAGAAAGGAAAGCAAATGTAATAAAATACATATTTTTCTTGAACAGCTGAACAGCCTACTAGATAATGTGGTCATATCATTGTTTGCCTGTCCTTTTGAGTTTTGCAAGCATCCTCTGTGTTAATGGCTCAAGAAAGAGTCATAAAAATCAGGTTAAAGAGTAAAGAATGGTCAGCTCTTATGATGTATCTAGCTTATCATATATATATATATATATATTATAATCACATATATATATATATATATATATATATTTTTTTTTTTTTTTTCGTTTTTTAAGATCCAGCATTAGGAAAGAGTTTCAAGACAGGGTTTCTCTGTGTAGTTTTGGTGCCTGTCCTAGATCTCACTCTGTAGACCAGGCTGGCCTCGAACTGTCAGAGATCTGCCTGGCTCTGCCTCCTGAGTGCTGGTATTAAAGGCGTGTGCCACCATCGCCTGGCTCTAAATAGCTTGCTATAACAAGGTTTTTTGAGCCACTGAAGAAAGGAGAGACATTTTGAAAGATTACACTTTACTAATTACCCAAGTTCTCGTCCTTTTCATCCTTCTAAGCTCCGCTATGACTTGATAAGGCTTACCAGAGAGCGATTTTAGAGTGTAAAATGACATCAGGATCCCATTCCTTCTTGCAGTTTTCTTGGTCTACTTAGGAGGATATTTCGTATTTTATTCTTGTTTCTTCTAAATCTTTTGAACCTAGGACATACATATAAAGCTTCTGTAGCCTGAATATAAGAGGAGAGGAATCTCTAAGTTCAAGGTGTGTCTTCCTCTTCTCTGCTTGTATTTTCTTTCCTTCAAAGGTCCCTCCTGTCACCTGTAGTTAACAGGTTCAAATGTTGGAATCTTAATGAAAATTCTGCAATAGGCACATAAGTCCTTTCTTGGTCATAAACTATTACCTTGCATTCTGTTCTAGAAAGATGCAGGCATAAAATGCCCTCTCCCCAACCAACACTTGTCTCTTCTCCAAAAGCATTCTGCTGGCCAGTTTGCTTTCAGCTCAGCCAGTACCAGGGTTTGTTGATTAATCCAGTGCTCAGGGGGAAAGAGTATCTTCTTGGGATGGGTGGGTCCCAGGCTAGAGTTCTAAGGGATGGTTCTAAGAGATGGAGTGGCTGCTCCCTGAAGAGTTTCTTTACTTGTTCTTGCCTTTATGTCAGCCGAATATATTATCCATGAGGTTCTTACCTGGTTCCCTCTAAGATAGTTTTGTTTTTTGTTATAACCTTTCAGCAGTGGAGGTCACCAGGCTTGATATAGATGATAAAGCCTTCTGTATCATAAAGTAGAATGTTAGTTGGGCTGGAGAGATGGCTCAGAGGTTAAGAACACTGGCTGTTCTTCCAGAGGTCCTGAGTTCAATTCCCAGCACCCACATGGTGGCTCACTACCATCTGTGATGAGATCTGGCTCCCTCTTCTGGCCTGCAGGGATACATGAAAACAGAACATTGTATACATAATAAATAAATAAATAAATCTTTAAAAAATAAATAAATAGCCGGGCAGTGGTGGCGCACGCCTTTAATCCCAGCACTCGGGAGGCAGAGCCAGGCAGATCTCTGTGAGTTCGAGGCCAGCCTGGGCTACCAAGTGAGTTCCAGGAAAAGGCGCAAAGCTACACAGAGAAACCCTGTCTCGAAAAAACCAAAATAAATAAATAAATAAATAATAAATAAATAAATAATAAATAAATAAATAAAAATTAAAAGAAATAAAGTAGAATGTTAGCATCAGAGGGATCTTAGAGTTTATTGCCCACCTTGCCTAGGTCTCCTGACCCATTCGGCTTCACAGGGACAAGAGTGGGAGACGATGTCAAGGAACAACGCCTTACTCTCCCGAAGAGCACTTGGTGCTTTATCCCATTCCCTGCATCCCCCAGCCCAGTCTTCTAAGGCCTGAGTTCTTTTCTGTGCTCAAGCATTATTGACAGGTCTGGTGAGGTGACCAGGTCCCCTGGCCCAGAAGCTCTCTGTCAGCTTCCCCTGCAGGTTCCAACTCAGGTATTATATGTCATTTATTCTCTTGTCCTCTTGCCATTGGCTTTGTCCTTAGGCTTAAGTCCCAAAGAATTGTTCCTTTATGCTTTTTTATTTTATTTTATCCTCTTGTTGGAAGCTCAAGAGTATAGGTCTTTAGCAAGATTTCATGAGGAAATGGATGACTGAGGTGTGTGCATTGTCAAGTATCTGTTGGTAACATCTGTACTAGAGTTTGTTCTCTAGTGCTTGCTCAGGCTCCCAAGTACACAGCCTCACAAACTGCAGTGAGCTCCCGTGGGAGATCAGCACAGAAGAGAACCAGGCTTTCTCTTACTCTTAGGCTCAGACTTAGATCTGGCCGTCTGAGCCTGTCTTCTTTGTAAACTCGGGGTAAAGGAAGTGAAGTCTCTAGTCTCTGTGCCCCCCTTTCCTTTCCTTAGCTGTGGTCTGAGTGTGCAGGCCCAGCAGCCAAGCTTCGTCCACAGAGAACTAGAAGAGGCTTTTGGCCAGGGATTTATTTTCTTGGACTATAGAGCAGAAGCAAGGCGGGGTGCTTTTCCTATCTGTTCCTCATCTGACTAAATGTCTAAAAATGCTTTAGCAGCTAGATCTGGGACTGGCTCTTCCGGTGGTGATGGGAACTGCCCTGCCCTGTAAGGAAGCTCATGTTTTTGAGTTAGACAGCAGAGGGCATGGGTGTTTTTAGACAAAAGGAAACTGTCTGAGACCAGATGTCTGCCAACCACTGGTTTTCTCCTGTTGAGTGAATGAGGGTGACTGAAACTGATTCCGTGGAGAAACTGCATGACTACATAGTGCTTCCCTGTAGCCGAGTTTACTATGCCCCTAGGGCAGATAGCAGGATGTTGCCTTCTGTGCTAAGGGTTCTTAAACACAAAGACACAAACCTCCCTTCCCCCCACCCCTTTAGTTCATCCTCTTCTCAGCCTCCCCATCCTCCAGTTAGTAAGCAGCACCAAGTGGATATAATTGTTCTCCATTTTCTCTGGAAGTACAGGGGCAGCTGCTGCTTTCCTAATTTTTTTTTTTTTTTTTAATTGTCACTGATGAAAGCCACTGAAAGACTTTTTTTCCAGCCTCGGAAAAGTTGGAGCTTTAGAATCTGGAGTGAATGAGGTCATTATCTTATGAAGCTGCAATACGCATGGCCTATCATTCACCTCCTGGGGCTATGTCTAGGGATGCAGCCTACCCTCATCTTTATATTGGAAATGATAGGTAGGCTGATTTTATAGCCACTTTGTATCTCCTCTACTGCCAGAGCTATTTGGTGTAGTCTCAGGTAGGTGGTCCTGCTTCAGCCCAGATCAAGGGCAACTGTTGGCTCAAGGCACCATAGTTTTTCAACTCCACTCCCATATACTCCTGAGCCTCTGCTTTCTTTCCTCCCAAACCAGGTAAATTGTCTCGAACCCCATCCTCACCTACCTGTTTTAGCCACTAGTGGCCTGGACCATGATGTGAAGATCTGGGCACCCACAGCTGAAGCTTCCACTGAGCTGACGGGGTTAAAGGATGTAAGTGACTGACTGAAGGCCTTCATTTGTAGAAACCAGTGCCTGTAACTGTTACCATTCTTCAGTGCCATAAGAAGGAATACCTTGTTGCTCAGTTCTTTAAAGGCATTGATCTAACACCTCCTCTCCTTTCCCCTCGCTGCCTCTGTGGGGCCAGTCGGGAGCCACAGAGCAGCTCTGAAGTGCTTCTGTTTCGTAGTTAGGAGGCGTCCTTAGGAAAACGCTGTTTTATGTAAAGTGTCCGACCTTCTCACTGACTGACCTCGAGCGTCCTTTCCTAGTCTAAGCCAGCTCTACACCAGCTTAATGGTTTCTGAAGGAGTGCTTTATTGGGATGAAAGACACAGTCTGCTTATCTCCCCTGCCCCCCAAAACACACAGTGTTGGGGATTGTACCCAGGACCTTGCACATGCCCTACTACCAAGCTACAATCTAGCTAGCTCTTGATTTTCAGAAACAAGCTTTTAACAAGTAGCTCAGGCTGGCCCTGAATTTGTGATCCTCCTGTCTCCACCTTCCAGTGCTGGGTTACAGTCATATGCAGACAGCAACACCAGTCCTGTTGATGAAGCCCAGGGTTCCTGTTGATTACTATCACTTCTAACTCTTTTGGGTTCCAGGTGATTAAGAAGAACAAGCGAGAACGGGATGAAGATAGCTTGCATCACACTGACCTGTTTGATAGTCACATGCTTTGGTTCCTTATGCATCACCTGAGACAGAGACGCCATCATCGGGTAAGCTTCAGTTGGAAGTGAGTTCCCAAGGACTATGTGCCTTTAAAGAAGGCTAGAAAGTTTCACGGCACACTTCCTTACTACTTTAAAGAGGAATGGAGTGGTCTTGGTTGGGTGTCTTATCCACTGGCCTTTATTTATCTCTATTAGAGCAACTAGTATAAAGGAGGCCCTGTATGATTTTGTTCTCTGTCACTATATATACAGTGGGTTATCTTTACAGTTTCAGTGGCAGGAGGGGGTGGGGAGGAGTAGAAAAGAAATAATGATTGCTCTGGGTGACCTGTGTTAACTTTCATGCTTTTTAAAAGGGGTTGAGAGCAGGGGTCAGCAAACAAATTTTTATTGAAAATGCAGCCACACTCGTTCCCTGTATTATCTGTAGCTGCTTTCATGGTACAGAGGCAGAGTTAAACAGTTCTAACAGAGACCATATGCCCACAAATATTTACAGTCTGGCCTTTAAGAAAAATTCTGAGCCAGGCACAGTAGTAAGCACCTATAATTCTAGCTACTGGGGAGTAACAGGTCACCCTGGGTTGTTTAATTTAAAAGAAAAAAAATGGGGGGGGGGGTTCTGCCGATCCCTGACCCAATATAGATCTAACGTCTTGTCCTTGATCCAGGGACGTTACTAACAAGGATTTCCCATCCTACAGCGTTGGCGAGAACCTGGGGTTGGGGCTACAGATGCAGACTCTGATGAGTCTCCCAGCTCCTCAGACACATCCGACGAGGAGGAGGGCCCTGACCGGGTGCAGTGCATGCCATCCTGAGGCCCCAAACTTAGAAGGGATGGGCTGGGGCTGCCAACCCGATCCTGCCTGGGGAACTCTTTCGGTTCCAGGCCCTTACATTCATCAGAAATGCACTTTGGACTTTTTGTTTAAATAAAGATATCCGAGAAGGACAGACCACAGGAGGTTGAACCAGCAGAGAGCCCCTGGGAGTGAGAGACAGCCAGTGTGAGCTTCCATGGAAAGGTGCAAAGGACTCAGCTGAAGTGGGCCTCTCCCACTGTGAGGGGAGAGGAACAAAGCCTTTTGTTAACTGGCTTGGGTAGGAAGTGGGGCTTATTTTTCTTTAACCTCCCTTGTTTCTTTTGTGGGGGTGGGGAAGGACTGGCTGTTCAGTACCGAGGGGCCAGAGAGGAGGGTAGGAATGCCACTCTTTGGTTTAGGTTTTTCACCCCCCCCCCCTTTGTTTTTTAAGAAGTCTGACAGTTCCATTGTTTTTTGCCCCTGAGCAACCACATCCCAAGACCCCGTTTTTTTCTGGGAATTCCTTCTGAGCCCCTAACCATCCCAGTAGTTTTCTCTTCCCTTTCCACTGCACTTACTCTGTACTTACCACAGTGTTTTGCACTTGATTATGTATCTTCCACTTTCTCCTCTTCATCCCATCCCCCTCCTAATGGGGGTCTGTGATGGAGGTCATGGAGAAGTGGGGGCGGGCCAAGAGATGGAAGAACAGGAAGAAGTTACCTCTTTGTTTTGTTTTTAATTGTTCGGTGGCAGCAATTTCCCTGTCCCTATCACTGTTAGAGGCCTAATTTTATATCTATAAATATATTAAAAAGCAAGTTAAACTTGGGCGTATCAAGTTAAAATTATTGTCAGAAGTTTAAATACCTATATATTCTCTATGAATACAATGCAATAAAGGGACTGAAAGGAAGATTGAGCGAGAGTGATGATGTAGAGGTGACACGTGGGGTCAGCTTGCCGTTTATATAGGACTCTCAGAGCCTGGGGCTGACCTTAGGTTTGACAAGGCTCAAAAATGGAAGGATATTTAGCTGTGCCCTTCTCTGCCTTGGTGCAAAGGTTTGGAAAAACAAGAAATTCCTCTCCACTTTGCCTCAGGTCTCGTAATTTCCTTAAGTCTCATGGGGGAATCCCAGGATTGCTCCTCTCATTGGAGGCTGGCCTGTCTTTAAAACATGACTGAAGTGTGACTTGAAGAAGGGCACCACTGCTACAGACCTTACTTACCCTGGTTCTGTGTATGACAGAAAGCACACTTGACCCCTGGCCTTTAGCTGCTTGACTCTTTAAGCCATCCGACTCCACACCAGCTCCCTTCCTAATGGAAGGATGAAGGGAAAAACTTCCTGGGAATTGAGGGACAAGCCAGTAATTGGAAGATTTATTCTGGTGACTGGGGCTTAGACACCTGTCTTGAACATTGGTCACTGAATACGAAAGTCCCTGTTGAATTCTTGCCCTAAATGCTTTTGCTGCTATTCTTTTGCCCGTAGTTTTCACAAGACTCAATCAGGAATCCTGCATCCTGGGACGTTTTGATTTGACCACACTGGGCCAGGAAGAAGGGGGAAAGAGCAGAGGGTGGTATTCCTACACACTCCTTCCTCCTGACCCCTTCCTAGCAGCTCAGACCAGATGCCAGCTATCGTACTTCCTTCCTGAGGCAGGGACTGTAGTCAGCAAGGAGTCTTATGTCCTCACTGCTAGCAGGTTTATGAGGTGGGCTTAAACCATGCACTCTGGAATTTGTTGTATTTTTTTCCTCAGTAAAGCTTTTCCCCCCCTGACTGTTGCTTTGTGTGGTATGTGGTCTATTTATTTGTTACAGTGTACTTTTGTTCCTTCCAGTATAAATGCTTGATTCTGCCAAAGTTCAGTCTGGGGTATCCCTGTTTCTAGTGCTTGAGCTACAGAACGTTGTAAGTGGGATAGGCCTGTTTATGTTAGTGGTACTTAGAGATGGGGTGGGGGGTGGGGCGTGCTATTTGGGGATGTTTTCCAGGCCCTTGTTTCATACTAAAGTGAATGATAATAGGGAAAACATGGTTACGCACCCCCTCCCCTCCCAGTCAGAGGTTCCCCAACTCTTTTGTTTGGTTTGGTTTGGTTTGGTTTTTTGAGACAGGGTGTAGCTTTGTGCCTTTCCCGGAACTCGCTTTGTAGATCAGGCTGGTCTCGAACTCAAGAGATCCACCTGCCTCTGCCTCCCAAGTGCTGGGATTAAAGGCGTGCGCCACCACCGCCCGGCTCCAACTCTTAATGACCCACAGAAATTCTAGAATCAATCAGGTACAGTACAGTCAGTCACCTTTATTCCAGGGTTAGAACAAGGCCGTGCACGCTGCAGACAGAGAGCACAGGCTAGGGGCAACCTCACGGCAGCAGGGGGGGGGGGGAGGGGCGGGGAGCCAGGGTATCAGTCTATTAGGGCAGGTTAGTCTATTTAAAGTTTGGTTTTGGTTTTGGTTTTTGTTTTTTGCCTTACAGAGAAACTGCTGAAAAGCACCCTCTCTTTCCTGTTTCTTCCATCAGGAAAGCTCCATCTCACTTTTGCTCTCATAGACCATCCCAGATGGAAGGATGGGTTTGCTTATTTCCTTTCTCCCGGTTGTACAAGTATCTCTTTTCTTGAAGGAGAAGCCAGACAGGATTAGGGAGACTTAGGAAGGACCTTTAAGGCAAAACTGGAGTCTTCGAGGTGTGTGTATTAAGGCAGGTGTCTGCAGCAGTGGCCAGAGGGGAAGGGCAGACTGGGCTGGGCTAGGAGTTGAGGGCGCTCTAGCCAGTCTGGCTTCTTCCCTCTGCTGACAGCCTGACCGCCCCTCCCTGGGAAGCTTTGCTCCCACATCCTAGAAGCTCCGACCTTCAACTTCCTCTACATAGTCTCTGAGCTTGCATGTAAAGTTAATGTTGGCTGTGGTTGGTTGAATGCTTTCTTTTCTGTTTGGACTATGTAACAATGTGACTCTGCCACTCCCTTCACTGTGGCATCCCTCCCACTCCTGCTCTGGTCTCGACAATAAGTTAATGCTCAAAACCACAAAAAAGGGCAGTCATGGCAGTGCGGGTTTAATCTACATATATGTAGAATATATATGTACACACAGTTAGCACGGTCAAGATGGGGAAGGGCATCTTGGGACAGGTAGGAGGCTGGGTTCACTCACTGTACTCTAGTGACTTGGCTTGGAGGCATCCACAAACCCAAATGAGAAAGGTTACCAAGTCCCTTCCTGGATTGAATTGGGGTGGTAATCAGTGTCAGTGCAGAGGAAACCACTGTAATTAACTTTCTTGCTTGGGGAATTCGAAACTGGAGAGTGTGAAGGTTGCCTTATTGGGACCCTGTAGGTTTGGGCAGGTTGAGGTTAAAACCTACAGATCTCATTCCCCAACCTCCCTAGGCTCATCAGGGTCAGTATTTCAACAGTCTGTGTTCAGGAATGGACTAGAAAGTGGGCCTGTCTCTGTCTGCATCCCCATCTCAGGCTCAGTAGTGCATGGGTCCCAGCATAGTCTCTCCAGAGCAGAAGTTGAGGACATCAAATGCTGGCTTCTCCATGGGGTTTGATTTTGGGGGCCAGGAAAGGATCTAGTGGTCTTCTCATTAAGATTTCTGGCTCATGTCTATCCCAGGCCTGTGACAAGGGCATAAAAGAGGGCCTGCTGGCACTCAGAACTTCAGCCTAAGGAATGGCCGGAAACTGGGTTCTAGCCAGTCCAGCACAGATTTACAAACACTGAATTCTGGCTCTTCTTTCCCCTTCCAGGTAGAGGTTGAGTAGCTCTTATCTCCCTTCCCCATTGGTTTTCTTTAGCTCTAACCATCTCTCCCATACCTCATCTTCACCTTAGCTCCTCAGTGTAGGAAAATGCAGGTCCTTCTGCTTCCATACTTGAAAGATGTGGGGAAGAGTGGAGGGGAGGGGAGGAGGAGGGGTGTGCCCATTTCTGTTTACATAGAAACAGCTTCCACCTCCCTGTAGTGGGGAGATTAAGCTCCCCCTCCCCTGGCTCCAGTCCCCTCATGAGGAGGAGGAACTAGATGAGCTAGACAGACAGACAGCCAGAGCGTGTGAACACGCACACACACGCGCATAGTAAGGGGGTTAGGACCAAGTTAGTAAGTGGGTACGGGGCAGGGGGGTTGCCCTAGCCCCTCCCATTGAGGACGGGGAAGGGAGTGGTCTGATGAAGATCCAACCTTCCTCCTCTTCCTCCCCCTTGCTCAGGCCTTCTTTGGTGGGGGAGCCAATTTGATGATTTCTTCCTCAGAGGGCTGCCGGATAATGTCTGGAAAAGCAAAGATGGGGTGTGTCCAGGGATGGAAGTTGCCAGGCAGGCCCGCTGAGCATCAGTCTCCACTCCCCAAATTCAGGATGATTCTCCACTCTAAGAATATAGTCAGAGGGGAAAAGTAGAAGAGTAGCTATGCCAGAGGCATGGTCTGTTACCTTTGTACTTCTTGGCACTGGGGATACGGGTTAGCTTGGTATCCAGCTCATCCTCCTCGGAGATCTTCAGCACACGGGTTCTGTAGTCAACCACCATAGTGAGTAGATCAGGACGGCGGGATATCTCAAAGATGTGCTCAATGTAGGACAGGTTGTCTGGAGGAAGGCAGCTGGAGTCAGAGCGAGGCTACAGAGGTCAACTTCTACCCTGTCAAACTGGTATTCTTGAACCAACACTGAGTTGCTGGTTACTGGTTGGTTACAGTGAAAGAAGGGGCTACCAAGCCAGTAAAAGAACGTTTGAGGCAGCCAAACAGTTCCAAGGACTGATCCTAGGAAGGGCAGGGGCCGGCGAAATTTTTCTAGGGCATAAGTGGAAATAGACTGGGCTAGATATTAAGTCCATCCTTAGGGGAAGGGACAATACAAAAGCTGCTTTCAAATGACCTCATACTTGTCCTGTCCTTTTTCTACTTGCCTTCCAAATGAGTCGGGGAGAATTCCCAGACACCACGTGTGGAACAGGAGGGTGAGATTTAGAGTCAATCAGAGGCTCTGAGCGCAGTAAGAAGTGACTTCAGAGGGTAAGCACTGACTGACTGACTGACAGGGTGGTTTGAGAAGACTATAACCATCCGCCATCGGCCTCCTGCCCCAACTGTGGCAACAGTCTACATTGGGATCGGTCCTCCTTCAGTTTTCCTCCCTGCTACCTAAGTACCACAGCCAGAAGAGTCCAGACAAAGGACTTTGAGGTCACTTCACTCTGAAACACGTGTAACTTAAGATTGACATTCTCAGCTACCTCTAATCAGACCCAGTCTTTTTAGTCCAGCCAAGCTGCACTGCGTTCCTTTCTTTAACGGGTTCTCTGGATTCTACCTTAGGAATCCCACTTTTTTGGGGGGCAGTCTATAATCATCATCATGTGTGAGTGTGGGTATGTGTGTGGAGGTCAGCGGACAGCTTTGAGGAGTTGGTTCCCCTCTTTCACTGTGAGCCCTGGGCCCTCGGTGGGCATGCATAGCAAGTGCTTTTACCTGCTTTTCTGCCAGCCCCTGGGACCGTCCTACACACCACTTCACCCTGCAAGCCCCAGCTGCGTGTGACTGCGCTAAGCCAGTGTCTCCCCCCAGTTTTAAAAAGCAGTAGTCTAAAAGTAGGTAAGAAAACATGGTTTTAAGTTTCACCACTTTAAATTGTTTTCATGTGCTGTTATATATGTAGTGATAGCGTGGAAGTACTGAAAAACATTTTGTACTAATAAGGGCCATAAATGAAGCACGTCCAACCATTACTGCCCTAGAGCCCTGTAGTCTCTTAGCGCATATCATTTACCCTGCCCCATCACAGGGGTTCACTTTGTTTAAGAGGCTTGTGTTCGTTTCTATTTGCTGAATGAACCGAGAGCCCCTCCACAACCTTTGTCCAGCTTGTTGTGGCTCTCCAGGAAGCTAAGCCAGGCACTGCCTGTGGTGATCTCCTCACTCTTCTCGCTGGGGATGTCCTCCTTGCAGGCCGACTTGAGCTGTTCCAGATCTTCGAGGGTGATGTTGTTGGTCAGGTCCTGAAGGAGAGTCCCGTACTCTGCCATGACTGGAGGTCAGGGTAATAAAGGGAGAGGAAGCTGAGCTTAGTGTATGGGATCTGGTTCACTTACTGCCAATACTTATCTGCGCCTTACCCCTACCCCCAACACGCACGCATGAGTGCACACTTTGTCCTGCCAGGGTGGTATGTACCTAAAATGTGGAGGTTTAGGAGAGAGCAAGTCTGGAAGGAGAAAAGGAAAACCTCTGACACGCAACAAGTAACTTAGGAAAGCTAGGAGCCTAGACTGACAAGTCATACCCCCCCATACACATACAATCTTTTTCTTCTTTTTCCCTCCCTTAACAGTAACCCTGGCAACAGCTCCCCTGACTGAGGAGGCGGTTACCATGGCAACATTCTCCAGACTTTCTTGCAGTCTCCAAGCCCCCCCTCCCCAATTGCCCCACCTACCTACAACCCCTCCCCCTGTCACAGGCTTGTGTAGAAGGGAGGCTAAACGGGGCTGGTTGAAGCCCTTGCATTCTATCTTCCATTCTTCCCCAGAAGCAAAGGGGTCCCTCATTTCATCTTCCCACCACCCCACTGATGACTCATTTTGGATGGATGCCTAGTTACTTGGCCTGATGGATCCCTGTGCCCCCATGCTTACCCCTGCATTAGAGTGTTAGGTCTTAGGGTGGCAGAAGCAGTGGGCCACCCCCTGCTTTGTGGAGCCCATTTTTTCCCTTGATAGTTTACTAGGCCCCAACTCAGCCCTCTCTCCTAGCCTTTGTGCTGTG